GGTCGTGGATGCATGAAGGTGTTTCTGCTACAGGACAGAGACAGAACGCCATGACTGCCAAGCTTCCGTGGAGCCTGATCAACAGAACTGGTGCTCTGAAGTTACCTGTCCCTTTTTGCATGATTCAGGGCAATTCCTCCATAAGTATTGGACCCCAGCAACCCAGCCATTCAGTGCCCAGGGATCTGCGTTGTTCAGGCCACCCGGCCACAGTTGTGACGCATTCCATCAAAAGGATGGAATGGTCATGAAAACAGAAAGCAACATTGGAAATGGGAATCGAAGCTGAATAATAGCACAATTGGAGAGTTGATTCCCTGTGGCACTCTCATCACGTGCAGAACCTTGAGGCATCAGGCGCGGCAGCAATTTGCAGACACACAACAGCCTCAGCTCGTTGTGTGTGTAACAATCGACCTCTGTGGGATGTATGTCTTCCGTTTGGCAAAACCCGGTGCAAGTGTGTTACGGCCGCCATTGCCATAGCATCCTGTGTCGCAGAAGCTCTGGGGATTCACAGTACATGAAAGGGTGCTGAAAGTTGATCCTGGGCTTCAGAGCGCAAATCTCCATCGTTGGGGATGTGTGACAACGCTCCCCCTGCACAGGGGCAACACTCCACAGCAGAGCTCACTCCCAACACTGGAGATTGTGGCAGTCGACAGTGTGCCAGCAGCCACCCATGAAGCAACGACGCTGCAATACACAGGCCTTGACGGAATTGAGCACCCCAACTGCAGCTGGGGATCGCTTCTACTGACACAACTCCTTCTGATTACAGTCGCATTCATGGGGAAAAACAGTGTCTTGGAGCCTGGGAAGGCGATGACCTGCACATCCAGAAGGTCGGTCTGTTGTTCCCCATTGGTTCAATAACCAACAGCCACCCATTAGCACCCCTCCAATCCAGTCTCGCAAGGACACTAGGACCGGTTGTTGTTGTGAGCACAAGCAGGGGAGTCACACCTCCAGCTGGCAGACGATCCCACCACCCAGTGGCTTTATTCCCTCTAACCTTTGACCATGGTCATCACAATGTCTGTGTGTCGCACCTGGCATGCAACCCCATGAGTGCAACATCGTGCTGACAGCCAGGTGGCAGGAAATGCAGAGCTGCTGGTAAACTAAAATAATGGGAAAATCAGCCAAAAAATCAGTTTTGCCAATGACAATACCCCAAAAGGGGATCGCTCCGCCTCAGTTGTGTACAATATGATACAAGGCCCAAACCTCTCATCGCTGTCATCCGGTGGTGCAAACTTGGCGGCAACCTTTTATTGAAGATTGGTTAGATTCCACACGCATATGTTTCGTGACTGTGCCCTGCAGGCACCAGACAATATTCACACTTCCACATCTAACCCCTCTCGCTCCCCTTGGCCCTCCCTCTCTTTGCCATCTTCCAGCACGTTGCCCTGGAGCGGCTTGCCAGTGGTTTCAATCGGAAGGCATGCCTCCCACAGCATGCTGGAACCAGTGAGGGCAAGGAGCACGCCCACAGACGCTCTGATGCCATGCTTATCAAATAGACCCTGGAAAGCAGCCCACATAAATCTGGCATGAGCATTGACCTGGATTCAAATTCTGCCACAAAGGGGGAGCAAGGTCTGTCACATATTGGGAGACTGCTATCCAGACGCAAGAAACATGCCTATGCATTAGAACAAGCGCAGCCAATACCGTGTTGGTCCTGTGTTCTCCCATCCTGCTGCAACAGGATGGATGGCGCCATTCTACTACACAGCGTCTTGCACTTTCCAAGAAGTTGCAAGTTTATTAGGTTTGTACACTCTAGAGCACTGTGCATTGTCAGTGCCCCATTGCGATCAACAGGAGGCACAGCCACCTCAAAGATTGGGTGCTGGCACAACGCTGGTACAATAGCTCAGAGCAATCAAAGAAATTTCAAATGCCCTTTTGTCTCTGATAGTGTTCAGCATAACACTTTTGACACAACACGAGGGGCTATTGTGCACTTGTGGAGCAAGGGAACAGAGTACAACATGGCCGCAAAGTCAATAACACATACTAGTCTTCAACGGTTCGTGGACAAGAAACACAATGCTTCACCACCACACCTGTGCAACGAATCCTGAGCGTGGAGAACCTCAAATCTGTTAGGAGTACTTCACAGGCTGTAGACTATCCAAGAACATTTGTTCAATGCTGCTGAGTCTGGGCAATAGGGATAATCTATGCAAAAACCACTGGCAGTAGGGATACGACAACACCCCCCGACAGGGCAAACATCGACCTGCAGCAGAGAAAGTCAGCGGTAAACCCATGCCAATCTGATCATAACCAATCTGACAAGCATTCCTATGAACACTAGCTACAATCTTGTAGGGAGGATAGGCCAAGTCATACCACAAAGGCAGGAGCTTCTTGGCATCGATGGCATTTCGCGCTGAGTGACAATGTGCTGCATGGTGGTACAGCGCATGCAACCTATTGGCCAGAATTCGATGAGACGGCAGGAGACAGAATGGATGGACCACTCTATCTACCAGGGTAGGAACAGTTGCGCCACCCAAATTCTTGAGTGTAGTGTAAAGTCTGGAAATGAAGAAGTCAAATCCCGCACCATTTCCTTCCAATGAAATCGATGATGAACACTGGCAGCACATTCCCTGCCAAGTCTGCCGATGACACGATCAGCACTTCCCTGAAGTCCTCTGCCGACAGGGAGAAGACCTGTCCCTCACACGTCGATGTCTGTTTCGTGTGGATCTGGGTGGTAAGGAGAAGTATGATATTGTAGACCACATTGGCACAGACGTACAGCACCATCACCAGCAGCGTTGTCAGCCAGAGAGAGTCAGACACCAGCCTGGCAGAAGACCGCACAACCACGGTTATCTACGCTGTTGCTGTGTAGCCAGCATGTGACTACTGGGACGCTGGTCCAGGATCAGGATCCTGGCAGCAAAATGAGCACACCAACTCCTTGACAGCATGCAACAGTGTCTGGCAGTTCTGTACATTTCATTTGAAGACCTGCAGAAGCAAGGAAGAAGACATTGCCTTGACTGGCAACAGCTGCAAAGTGGGGACACTCCCATCTCCTGGCAAGGGCGGTTGTAATGAGCAATGAACAGCTCTTGAAAATACATGAAAATCACCTTCATAGCAGACTCACACCCCACACTATGGCAGAGGACTGGAATACAACTTGTCTTGAGAGTGTTCATCAAAAGGAGGGAATGGAAAGAAGAATACATAAGCAGACAATTAGACCATTGTCCGCTTTGCTTGAAACCCTTTGCTCCTGCACACGAGAATAAACCACATCAGACTGTGGCCTTTGAAACCAGCCCTCCCCCCTCCACGTGTCCCACCTTGCACTGTCTGACAAGAACTTCCCAATCTTTGAAGAGCAGTGCCGGCATTCATTCTCTGAGTCGTCCTCCTCCACTGCTGGCACAACAAGCTCGCCTTCTGGCAGCTGCGTCCCATTCAGCCTTGCAGCCCACCGCAGCGACTTCAGAGCCTCCTCAGAACGTCCAGCTGCAGTGAGGTAGTGCGCAGACTCCGGAACCAGGGGGAACAGCAGCAGCACCACAACTGCACACAGAAAACAGAGGATTATAACTGAACAGGAGCACACTCTGCAACTGCACCACACAGCTGAGACCATTGTTTGCCCTACAGGCCTGGCAAAGGGTACTTCACTGAGCCAGGTGCAGCAAGACACAGCCATCGGTGCTCCTGCACGACATTTGGGGACTGGAGATTCTGTTATCGAACCATGCAAAGGCTTGTTTGCCAACGCTATTCGGACAGCCGCAACCTGTTTCACCTTGACAGCATGCTGTGAGTGAGGGTGGTGGAGGTATGGGCTATGTCAATGACATATTGCACAGCATCAAGCAGCCCTCACGTGGACAGTGCCACACAGGGCTCTGGTTCTGCGCGCATCGCACAAGGGACATCTTGACGCACACATGCACTTATATGCACCATCCATCCAGGGGACCTTACAATCTACAATTCAGAATAGCCTGAGCAAAGGGCTGGACAATAAGATGCACTGTATTTCCAAACACCCCCTATGTCGTGCCCATGTATCCCCTCTCCGGACAGAAGCGACTTGTGTATATTCCAAGCCCAGCTCCTGGTTCCCTTTTTTGACAGTTGTGTTGCTTGCGCCGTCACCACACATATGGAGCACTTGAAATGCCTGTTGTGAGATCGCTCCGATTTCATATTCAAGTGATAAGTTCCAAGCATGCACGGGGGCATACAGGCGCTCCTTTCAATCGAGGCACTCACCATACGGTATGTTGGTGATCACCATCAGGCCTTGCCAGCCATGCCACGGCATAACCAGCCATGCAGTTGCAGCATTGCCCAGTATGCCCGCACTCCAGAACAACCCCGCTGCCACACCCCACATGCCTCTGTGGGCCGCTGGCACAAACTCCAGGAGGTATGTCAAGCCGGAGAACTGACCCGCGAAGGTGAATCCCATCAGAGCGAACATGAACTCAAGCCACTGCAGGGGGCACACACAGTTCAAAAGGCTGGCAGCGCAATGCACAGCAATGTTGTTGGTGATTCAAAGCACAGGTGAACCAGCAAACACAGGGAGATGTGTCCTGAGCACAGCACATATTTCGTTCAGAGAACGAGTCACTTTGCCGCAGTGCGTTTGAAGTCTTCGGTTTATTAATGACATGTCACATCGCCTCAAGCGACAAGAGACCAAAGCATGAAGCAAGGCACTCGAATCCACGAGGAGCGCCAGTTGCAACTCACGACGGCAGGATTAAAACACAACCGGGGTATTTTGTGTGCGCAAGAATAATTGTACTTTTCCAAGCCCGTAGGATGCCCTTAGTATTTTGCAATTTTAATCTCACTTTTTAGGTAGTTTATCCGTTGACATGCTCGGCCCAATCAGCGTCTCCTGTAATAATTTTCTTGCACTCCCCAACGGTCGCTTGTGGAGGGACGCAAGCGAGGCGTGGATGCAGCCTGCCATTGGCGCGAAGGTCCGGTGGATCGCGTCAAACGTCGCTCCGAAGCGTTGTTGCTCGGCGCGCTTGGCCACCCGCGAGCGCTGACGGGGGCATACCACGTGGGATGGGCGAGGGCTTTGCGCGCTGGGCGGTTATTTGTTCGGGATCGACACTAGGCGCCCCTATTAATTACTGGTAAACGCCAGGCTAAATGGACGTGGCCAGCCACGGCCGATGGTGGCGCAATTCAGAAGATCCTTTGCTGAATTTTGGCCATTTACCAAAACCGATTCTGCAAAGCGACGAGCCGCAACGCTCATAGAGGGCCCCTGCTGGCTCATACTTCACAGCTTGGGTGAACAACTGTGCCATTTTCCTTCGAGCCAGGTCGCTTTCATTCCTTGCCCGCCACTGGGCCAGTGTGCCCTCGATGGGACGCAGGCACAAGCGTGCAGGCCAGCGTAGGACCCCCAATCCGCGATGGCGTTCCGGCATTGGCTCGTGTTTGCGATTTTTCTTCCCTGGCAACTGCCCAAAGCAATGTCGCTTCATCACTCTGTGGCACGGCGGAAAAGGGCCCAGCATCGCTTTGCCAAAGGTTTGATGAAGTGCAGCACTGTTGCACCCGTCAGGGAGAATTTTCCACAAAGGGGGCAGTGGGCTTGTGCAGGTTTACTCACCCCTATGGTGGGCATCACTGCTGCCAATGTGCTTGTGAGGATGCCTCCCACTGTCGCAGCCATGAGCGAGACCTTCCGGCCCATGATGTCCGCAAGTGCCCCCCACAAGTAGGCCCCAATCAGCAGCCCAACAAACACCCACACTGTCAATAGGCTCTCTTGCTTGTCTGTCAGTCTCCATTCGCATTTGACCTGCGAACAGCGTGGACAAGCCTTAAAGGAAAGGCATCGGAGCACAAAGAGTCCAGACTGATTTCCTCGCCATCCAAACTTGCTGAGTTTCGCCCCTGTCCATGGCCGACACCCATGGTATGAGGAAAATAGTCCTTATCTTTGGAGAACCCAATACAACAGGCTGATGTCCTTCATCTTAGCCAGACACGTCGTTTCCGGTGCCACACGTGTTGGTGCACGTTCATGCTGTCAGGGGCTGTTCTTATCGGTAATGGCACCGTTGGACCCTTGCATATTGTCCTTCCTTGCTGCACCGGCTGATGCACAGACCGAGAAGCTGTCCTATGGCAGACAAGCGAGTGTGTGCGTGCAAGACTCCAATATTGACAGATGCGCAGAGCACGCTTGCTTTCTGCTCACAGACAGATAGACCAGGCACACGAAAGTGGTCGTGGACACCAACTCTTCCAAGCTGCAAAGGCTTTCAGCTCCCCCTGATACAGAATACTCCTCTTCTCCAACTACTGACGCAAGCTCGGCGATCCGTTGTGCACGTTCCAGGCCTTGTAAGGCTCGGATTGTGCAAGCTTGCTGTGTGATGCGGGGGAACAGACCTCTGGCGGCCAGCAGACACTCCACACTTGGCAGTGTAGCGGACAGGAGACAAGTTGCTGTGGTAGCTTGAGCCTCAGGTACGCAGCGAGCCCGCAACGCTCAACAGGCAGCGGGGTCTCAGCCCTAGGCGGCAAGCGCGCCCCTGTTGCTTCTACAACGACACCCCCCGCCCCTCGTCGAGCTAGCTACAAGCCGCGGACCTGCACCGCGCCTTGACACAACGATGACGCGGACATCGAATAAGGGCCAACCTTCATATCATCGGATGGTTGAATCGGCGTTCGCCGCTCCTTGCCTCGCCGCGACTTGGGCACCCCGCCGCGAACGACCAAACCCGGGCTGTAACAACCGCAAGGATCGGGGCGCGGCCCCCCGGGGCGCCGAGCCCGGCGCTCGCACTCCACCACTCACCGCGGGCGCCACGAAGGCGGCCACCGTCGCGTTGGCGCCCTCGCCCAGGGCGCAGAATCCCACTACCAGCATCATCAACACCTGGAACCAGCCCACGCCCAGGCCGCTCACGGCATCGTCCACCGTGAAGAACCCCCGCCCCCCCGATTGCTCCCCGCTGCGCTCATCCTGGCCTTCCTCCTTCCACCCCTCGCCTCGGTCCCGGTCATCAATCAGTGGCACGCGCTCTGATGCTGTCTCCCCGGGAGGCATGTCTTGCCGCATGTTTGGCGCCATCCAGGAAGGCGATCGGCCCGTTTTCAGCCCCAGCCCAGGCGAGGAGGGCTATAGGCGCGCAGTGAAGATGCGCAGTGCGGCGTGTGTCGGCTGCCCGTCCGCTTCAATGCGGTCGCGAGGCGGGGAGGGTGCGGAGCTGGGCGAAGGCGGGTGGCTCTGGCAGCACGGGCTGTACGGCCGCGATGAAGGGGACGCGTGTCGGGCGCTTCCAGACCCTGACGGTCTAGGGGGCCGCGTGGCCTGCGGGCCCGCATCATTGATCAGCGCGATCTTGACGGCCTCTAATGACGTGAATGGGACCTGTGGCCTTCCCGCAAAGCTCCCCCAACCTTCTTGTGAGGGTCTTGATGGGCCTCAAGCACGTCCAGCGCCCGCTGGGCACCCATTCACCGTGACCTTCGTGCCCTGCGGCGTGTACCCGTCCAGCACGTTATGACTGCAGTCCCGGTGCATGTGCGTTGCACCAGATGTGGGAGAAGCCCATGGTGCAACCTGCGATTCTGCTTTCTCAATGTGTCGCTGTCCACCGGCAGACCCTCGAACAAAAGCCTTCTAGAGGGCCATCAACTGAAACCACAAGGTGGCATTCCATGGGAGGCGCTGGACTTCAATCATGGTGTGAGTCTAAATCCACTGGTGCTCCAAAGCCACTGTGGATGTCATTGCCCTCATGTTTTCTGGGAGGTGAGTGTCCCCTCCGCCAATTCACCCCTTTTTCATGGTACGTGTCACAGCCATAATATTTTCATGTGGTGGTTAATGTAAAATCACACGCAAACCCAAATTCACTGGTATAGTACGTGTGATGGGCCGAAAATTGGCCTTTGGGGGGCCACGATGAGGGGCGAATGTCTGTTGGCTTGTATTTGGGTTCGCCCCCAATGGGAAGGAATTTGAACGTGAGGTTGGCACATGGTAGCTTTGCGAATCATCAATCTCAACAATCAAATCTTTGAATGACACTCGGCCTTTTACAAGATGCCCCTACTATTTCCCTGGTTCATCCACGGACAGTGAGCTCAAAATGAAAAGAGAACGAGGGGGACAGACCTGCCAGGTCTGCACCTGTGCAATTTAGGTTCCGTTTTGTTCTTGCAGTGGCGTGGTGGCTCGTGCGAGGGGCAAGCATGCCACGATAGTTGCACAAGCACGTTCCAAATGGATTCCTTGTTTGCCACCAGTTTCGTGTCGCCAATGTGTTGCACTGCGCTCTGCCCGGGGCACAACATGTGTGGCTGGCACAGACTTTCGCTGATGGTGCTATCTCAGGCAATACATCATATCGTGATCACCATGGAGATCACACAGTGATGTGTCCCAACTGGATGGGATAGATACTTAAAATGGGCATTGAGATGCCGCCGAGGGTATGTAAGATTAGCTGCAAGATTTGTCATTGTTTGATTCATTTGGTAGCAGATTATTTGGTTGTGTAAGTAATTGCACAAACCCATACTGAATAAGATCCTCTAAATATATCCATATTGCACTTTGTTAGATACAAATATGCATGAATCCCAAATTTGGTATATCAGGCATTAAGAAAAAATTTGTCAAGTGACACGGTCTCCTCAAAATCCAAATGTGAGCTTTTGGCAAATGTGGTCCCAAAACTACACAATTAGTACACACATTCACACAATTTCGACCGTGTACCCTCAAACAATTGTGTAGACTATATGGTTTCCCAGGATACATGGTTGAAATTGTGTCAATATGTGTGCTAATTGTGTAGTTTTGGGACCACATTTGTCATAAGCACATAGTCGGATTTCAAGCATACCGTGTCAGGACCGTGTCATCTGGCATGTCTTTTGCTAGTGAGGGTGCATAAATCTTAGACCGAGGATGCGCGATCACCCCTGACAAGATACACCCCTGAGTGCATCATTGCCCGATGCACAGCCAGTGGGAGGCTGCCTGTTGCACGCACTCCAAGACACAGGACACCCCCGGACCAATTCAGCCGCCCCAACATCGAAGCGCCCCATGTACGGTCGACGCTGACATGCAGAACACCACCGACAGGCACATCCAGCGCGCAGCGCCTAGGGCAGTCCCTTAGTCAAAAGTGCCCGCCTCTCCCACTCCACCCCTCCAATTCCCTCCCATAGCCGAAGCACCCCCCCCCACCCCCCCCACCCCGCCTCCAACCACCGGCACCGTCAGCACGCGGAAGCACAGCGGAAGCACACACTCCTTGCTGCCGCCGGGAAGAGTCCTTTTCTTTTCGGGCGCTGCCTTCGCAGTCAACGGGTCATAGCGGCGCTGCCGGGGCGGCGGGATGCAGATCTTCGTGAAGACGCTCACGGGTAAGACCATCACGCTGGAGGTGGAGCCCTCCGACACCATCGAGAACGTGAAGGCCAAGCTTCAGGTGCGGTGGCGCCTGACGACTGCGTTCCGGCCGGGATCAAAAAGGGGGGCCGTCGCGCCTTGGCGCCGTTCTCGCTGGTCGACCTCGATTCCTCCCTGGGGAAATTCGTTTTTCGTGTTTCGGCGGGGGGCAGTCTCCGGGATGGGTGCGCCTTTTGGGGAGCGAGAGGGGTGGATGTGGTTGGGTGTGGGTGTGGTTGAGTGTGGAGTCATCGTAACGTGTCAGCTGTTGCACCCCGGGGTACACGCGGCCGGGGTTGGGCCGGGAGTCGTGGCGGATCGCCGGTCACTGCCGGGGCGCGAGGGCCCTCGCGGCCAATGCGGCTTCTCAGGACGGCACAGTGTCCATCCTGCAATCGCGCGAGATTGGACAATTCTCCACGGAAGATCATCGTGCTGTGCTCGGACGCGCCGATGGATGCGGACGGCGCGTGCCGCGGTGCACTGCGAGGCATTTTCCTTTCCAAGCGGCCCTGTGGCCCCCGGCCGTCTTGCATCCGTTTCGAGAGCCTTCACCGGTTGGATGTTGAGGATTTCGGTTGTGGGGGATCGACCTCGAGCAAAACGTTAGAGTTGGCAGAACTGCCCGCCAATGCCGAGACCTTTGTCCGATGTGTCAGCCAACGGCATCTTACCGGGGCCTGGGCAGGCGCTCTGCGCCATCCGCTCCCATTTGATCGCAAAAATGCCGCTGCGCAGGACAAGGAGGGCATCCCGCCGGACCAGCAGCGCCTGATCTTCGCCGGCAAGCAGCTGGAGGACGGCCGCACGCTGGCGGACTACAACATCCAAAAGGAGTCCACCCTCCACCTGGTACTGCGCCTGCGGGGTGGCAAGCCCGTGCGGGTGAGTGGCTTCTTTACCAGGTCCGCCGGCCGCCAGCTCGCGGCATCTGCGCGTGGGTTGGGGCAGGCAGAAGGGGGCGCGCCGGGGGTGGCTGGGCGGGGAGAGTCTGACGGGGGGCTGGAATTTGCGGGGGGAAGGCGGGGGTTGGCAGAGATTCTTGCACCGGGCGTGGCCCGCCTCCGATCAAGTGTCGAGGATCGGGATCGATCCAAGCGGGTGACGGACGGGTGCGCGTTGCTGTGCAACCCCTTTTCCGGGTGAGCCGGCGGTCCAGATGGCTGCGGATTCGCCCGAGCTTCGCGGCAGCCGCAGCGACACTTACGCCGGGGGGGGGCGAGGCCACCCTGAAGACGCCCGCAGATGGATGGCGTTTGTCCGGATTGCGCCTGATGGACATCTGGAAGCAGGTCACGAGGTGTTGCGCTGAAGATAAACATACCACCGCGGCATCCAAAAAACAGAAGGTCATGCTGGCAGGCATTGGACAGGTGGCCATGGGGGACAAGAGGTGAGGGCACCCCGCAAGAGACCCAAAATCTGGCGCGCTCACTCCACACTGCGATCTGCGTTGCCTCTATTGCCGTAGTAGGACGTGTTGGCTAACGAAACCACTGCACGAACGGCAAAGTGGTGGCAGCGAGAGCGTCGAGCACCCGGTGAACAGTACCGTTCAGAATCATGCCCAACATTGGAATTGCGGAGAATGACAGCACGCAATGGCGTTATTGCATTATAATTCCACTATGTTATTGCAGTAATTACTGCATGGCTTCATTAGGAAAGATAATCATGGCAGTAAAACAAAGTGATTGGCAGCCCGTGGAGATGTTTCTCTTCTGCCACAACAGTCTCACGGATTCCTCAACCTGGGGAAAAGACGGTCTGCAAGGAAATCCATCGACCTGACATATCAATGTTTCGGGACTTATTGTGCGGTGACCATTGCGAATGCAGTAGATGAGGCAATGGCAAGCAGGTGTCCGACACGGCTATGTGCCCCTTGTGTACAGGACGAACATCCAATTCAGCCACAGTGGAACCAAAAACTCCATGTACTTTGCTACGGTGGGAAGTCGGCAGTGACGCAGGTCGGCTGTCGTCTACAAAGCAGGAGAGAATATACCACCGGCGTTGCATCGTCACCAACAATTACTGTACTTAATGCAGTGTACTATATTGCCATTGGCTGGCAGCACATAAAGAGGAATGGCAAGAGGGAATTTTTGTGATTGCTTATCAACCGTCTGTCAATGTATAAATGAGCGTTCAATTGAGCGCATATCATGCACGGGCAATACACGTGTGTAGAACTATGGCGGGTGCGGTTTCGTATCGGAGAAGATGACACATGATTTATTGCCTCTCGTTCAGCATCCCAGCTGTCTGTTGAGCGATATTAATTTTCATGTGGCATAAGAGTGAGTGGGGTTCGTACATTGTTGCTTGAAAAAGAGTGCCAATGTAATTTGCGTGTGAACACAAAGCATGGAATGGAGCAAAGCAGGCACTGAGTGCTTGTGGTTGGTGCGTTCGCGTAGGACGCCTCAAATGACCACTTCATCATAATGTTCCCCAGCGCTTGAGTGCCTGCACCCTGAGGAAATGACCTGGCATCCTCAACAGGGTACAGGTGCCTGTACAGAAAACACCGCCCCGGAGAAACATCTCAAATGCAGATAGCACGAGCGAGTTTGGACATTCACATGCCCAACAAGGATATTTCAGTACGTTGGAGCTTCAACATCAGCGCCATCAAAAGGCACAGCGATTTGACACTGCGCCCTGTCGTCGTGGGCCACCGGGTCCACCCATTGCGTTCCAGGAGCAACAGAAAGTGCCGTGCTCACGGTGCAAAGCGATAGTGTCTGTGAGACAATTTTTTCCCCAGCCTCGTCAGGAAGTCGTAACACAAACGCCAGCGCCAATTCGAACGGTGCCAGGCCGCCTTACAGCGCGAGACCGAGCTTGTATCTGCCGGTACACGTCAATTCTTCACAGGCTCTCTCGCCAGCAACAAGTGCATGGGGGTCGTGACGCGTACCACGACAGAATCGTCCTGGGCACCAGAGAGGGACGCCAGCACGGCAGCCTTGAACGCCTCCAGCGGGTCTTCAGCCCGCGGGTTGGCCTTCATGTATGTGTTGTATGCTGACCACGATGACATGTAGCCGGCCAGGTTGGCCACTGTAGTGTCGCTGGTCAGGTCCACTGTCCTCATCTCGCAAACTCGAAACTCGTCGGGCGTTGGCTCCGCGCCTTCGTACCTGTAGCGCATTCAAAATGCAGGGTCGCAAGTTGCAAAGTCTGGTCGCATGTGCGTGTGGCTTTGAGCAGTGACTGGGTTCCATCTACGGACACAGCGTTACTGAAAAATGGGATCGCCACACTTGCATTTCGCCTCATTGAGTTACCACGGGCTTAACACCACGACGTTGTTCAGCCTGTTGTCGACGCCGCTAGAATGTGCTGCGAATTGTCTGCTAGAGGAAAACTATCAACTGTGATGCCCAGCGACGAAAGTGCTCATTGGGGTTGAATCCTATTTCTTTCGGAAAAGAGGATTTGAAGACGATCAATACTCCATCCCTGCGCTTTTGTGACTAAATGCAATTGCTCTCTGTACGCCGATTATCAGCGCACTACGAGCAGCGCTCGCCTGTGACCCAAACCCCCTCGCATCAGCTGTGTGTTTCCCTATGGTACCGTGCGCTCCAGATGACGCCGCGATCAGGGTCTGGTCGACAGCACCAACAGAAGTCGTCCAGCGAGCCCACGACCCACCGCTTGTGCACCAAATCGCATTTGTCAGCCCAGTAAGGTCCCAATTTGCGCGTCAGAATGTCGTGCATGGCTTCGTTTGCCGCCGGGTTGCCGTCAAAGAACGTCCGCTCGTACACCCACGCCGCCAGGGTCCCGTGTGGCTTCAGGACCCTCGTCGCTTCGGCGTAGAAGCGGCGCAGGTCGAACCAATGCAGCGCCTGAGCGATGGTCACGAGGTCGAAGGTGTCGTCTGCGAAGTCCAGTGTCTCTGCCGTTCCTTGGCGGTAGGTCACATTCTCCACCGTCGGGGCCTGTCAGGAAGGCAGTGATTTTGTGAGGAGGCGGGAGGAATTGTGTGTCCGTTTTACTAGCGAGGAAGGGGCTCACATATGGGCAGCATATTGCGGTGCACTGTGGCACATTGCCATATGGAGACTGTGTGTTTACTCACGAATGTTGCATCGCACTGAGAGGAACGTGTTCAACAGAATACCACAAAAGAGTGCCTTGCCACAGTACATGCTTTGGTTTGATCGTTGGGCGAGATGCAGGATGCTAGGGCCTCTCGCCAGTATGGTCCATACTGGTATATGGAAAATGCTATACTGTATATATGGCAATCGCAGGCAAATTGACCCTTTGGCAGCGAGCGCACGTTGGCTGGCTCAAAACTGAGAAGGAAATTCAATGTGACAAGATTGGCAATGAAACACAGCAAAATTCCCTCAGCACATCCACGGCAAAATAAGTGCAATGTTGGCAGCATGGACGCCATTTCGACGCTGTGCGGAGAGCATTCCATTCTCATCTTGACAGATCTGGAATGGGAGGACGCAGCCAGAACCACCGCGGCACTGCAGCACTTGCTTCAAATTAGATGGCGACCATGGGCCTCGATTGCCCCATAATTACAGGCACTTCGCTCGCTTCCAAGTTGCGCTTGCCTGGGCCAACTGCCGCTCGTTGAGGTCTGTCGCCACGACGCGCTCGAACCTCCTCGCCAGCGCCAGCGCCGCCTGGCCGCTTCCCGTGCCGACATCCAGCGCCGCTTCGTAAACCGGCAGCTTGGCGAAGTCATAAATCTCATCATACAGCCGTTCGGGATACATGGGCCTGAACCGCGCATACGCCACAGCCTGCTCCGCGCCGAGGGAAAAGAGGCTGGCATAGCGGCCGGGATCCGGACTGGGGTCCCCTCCCGCACTGTCGCACATCCCGTAAGCGAATGCCGGCGATGGGCACAGCGATGGGGCTGTGGCACGGCGGGCGGATGCGATCCAGGAGAGGGTGGTCGGGAGGTGACGCAGGGTGGGGAGCATGGGCGGGAGGGCAGCGATCGCCAGAGGAAAATCTCCGGTCGTGCTTGTCTGTCGTGCTGGCGGGGTAGGGACGCTCGAGGCAGCAGGGAGGTCTCGTGCCGGAGAGTGTGTGTGATAGTGTGCTGGGTGTGCCCCACATTCCCAGAGGCTATGTTTTCCAGACATACCGCAGTTTTTTAAGCCCTTCCGCATAGTAACGTAACGCTGGACTCTTTTTCGCGAAGTCGATGAATAAAAAAGTAACGGTGCCAGAGCGAGATGTGGAGCAGCCGAATTTAGTAACGGCTGGGGTGCCGCCGGGGCCTGGACACCTGGCAGGCCACTGGGCCGCCCAGTGATCGACCGCCGTGGTCGATCGGCAGGCCGGGCGGCGCCCGCCGCTTGCCTACTAGGCGGCTCGGGCTTCGAACCGCCGGAAGCGATCGCATGCATATGCCAGCGTGATCGCGGATTGGATCGATTGGACATGCAAAGGCCCACGGTGGGCAGCGCGGGGAGCGCTGCGCCATCCTCTCGGCGCTCCTCACCAACTGGAAGTCTCATGGGCAAGTGATCGGTAGGCAGGTAGGCGCCTGCTGCCTGCCATCCGGGTGGCGGGGAGAGTGGGCGCTGATGTCAAAGGTGCCAATATGGCGCGTGCCGCGGGGTGCGCGCCAGGGACGTCGGGCGGGACGCAAGGGGGGGCGCGGCATCTCTAGGACTCTTGGGAACCGTTCCCAGAGTTGGGCGGTTGATGCCGCATGGTGCACACACAAACGAGGCTTGGGACTGGTCCGTTGCACCTGAAACTTGGGATACAGCCTCTAGAGGCCCCTTGGAGCCCGTATGACACGATGCGGAGCAAGAAAAAATAAAGTAACGGTCCGGGAAGAAAATGCAGAGCAAAACACAATGGTCAGGATAGACCGATGTAGAAGGGTTGAATATATTACGGTGTTGTTGGGATGCATTCTCGTGATACAACTGGGCGGGTGTTGTGGTTATTCTCCAAGCCGCCCTGATGATAAGCCTTGCTGGGACGCGCAGCCATGACTAGGCCCCTCATTCAATGCATTGTGGGGCCTAGATCGTCATCATCATCATCATCATCATCAAATTCACTATTACTTAGAAGCTAGCCACTAGCTCCCTATTTTGCCCAAACAAAGTGATGTCCATAATTTGTTCATTAAATTCTAATATCAAAATAGATTTAAAAGGCTTCGACATTACCATCATAGTAATTGTGACGTGGTTACTTGGGGTTAGGCTAAAATTGACTTTTCTGAAGATGCGGTTGGTCGAAAAAGTGCAAATATGGCAAAATCAGCTTATTCAGGAGCTCCTGATGTCAATAGCACCTTGAAACGTCCAATTCCATGTAGAAACGGCGAAGTTATGGCCAGTTGAAGTTGCAGTACTTTAGCATGGGATTCGGACCGGTAGATGGAAGCATCGGGGATTATGTGGAGCTGATTTAGGTGAATGGTGGACAGTGACGATGTGCCTGGACGCGCACTTGTCTTGTCTTGTCATGATGTGACCGCGATGGACCCGCGATCGGGTATCGCGCATGCGATATGTGCGCGCGCATGCTGTGAATCTATGTAACATGTTCTGGCCCACTCTCTGGCCTCCTGCGAGCCAGCGAACCACTATCGTGCTGCGCCGCCACCTCTCGCCGACAGCAGGCCCCGGGGATCGATCCCCGTCGAGCATTGGGCCCACCGCGCGACCACCGAATCGACTGCCCCGATTATGCCCACCGTCCGAGGTGGAGAAGCCGGCTGACCTCCAACAGCCGTGCTGCAAAGCAGGGCGACCCCAGCGACTCCGGAAACCAGCGGCTGCTGACGGGGCCGCAACAGTAGTGGCAAGGAAAAGTACCCTATTTTTGTAGTTCTATGATATGATATGCACAATTAACTTGAGAGTTCTTAAACACAATGGCCGTATAGCTCCCACCTACAATATAGCCCAAAATAGGGTGCTATTGGGGGTTGGGCATTAAATTATCAACTTAAATTAGTATGTTGAATTGTAACCATCAAATAAGACTTTTCATAAATAGTCAACTGCATATCAAAAGTGACAAGATCGTGGCCACGCCATGGCCAGACCTCTCCGGAGGGCAGCAGTGAAGAATCGACTTGAACCCAGTCGAATGGGGGCGAATTCGATCGACGAAACGGCCAGAAACGCACAGGCCGAACGTCTCACGCCAGTCGCACACAGGGCCTGAGTCCCTCCCTCGAAAGAGATGCTCACTTGGCCTCGCAGGTCCTCTCCTCAGTCGTTGAGGAGGCCTGACCGACTGCCACAGCCGTAACCAAATGTAGATTACAGACTGGAGATCAACAACATCGCCGACCAGCCAGTTTATATACATTAGCATGTTTGTTCTCAGCCACACGTTCCATGGAATATGCTTCAGAAGATTCCCTACTATCCCTCTGATAATGCCTCTTGTCATGCCTATCAGGAACTAAAAGTCACATCATGCATTGACAATGACAGCCGCACTGTCCCAGTCATGCATCCTACGGCTGTTCAACCGGTCACTGTCATCAAAATCTAGCATATCTTATCAAATCCGATCAGATCTATCGTAGTATCTATTACGAATAGGATGTGGGTGTGGGGTTCCTGCCCTCTTTGAGCCGCGGACCCGCCTCGCCGGGCACCTAGGTCCTTACAGGGCACCTAGGCGGGACCACCCCTCCTACTCCCGTATCCTAATATGGGTAAAGGTTACATTGGGTGAGGAATAGTACGTGCCTTGGGCAGGGCGTCCCCCACACCAAGGGCCATTAGTAGGACGTCTCCCACATCAGGCTGATACGCGTAACATTCGTCCCCCTCAGGGAGAGGGGCGTCCTCGTCCCAATATAAGTGAATACGGGAGCAGAAACATTGTATGTATGTTGGTGGAACTGGCTGTGCGATTTGCCACATGCCCAGTTAACAAAACACAACACACCAAACAGTTTTGGATGAAGAGAAAGAGTGGTTGTTTTACATGACCGTCCCGGCCTTTACAACCCTCGTTAAAACTCTTCCTCAGCCAAGTGGCTGGAAATGTTTGACCTCCCGGCCTTTCATCGGCGACCACGATGCCGAGTACCACCAAAAGCCCACGCCGGTACCGATCGGCCCGGTGCGGCACCCCGCCGTCGCCCACGTCCGCGTGCACGCTCAGGCGCACGGGGAAATGGCACGTAGGGGTCGGCGGTGTCCAACCTCTCCCCGTTGAGGATGTTCACTGACATGGCGTTCATGTGGGCGAACTGTGTCCTCGCACGGGGGGCAGTATACCCAGTGTTTTTCTGGGCCCAGCGCAAGAGAACCTGTCAAAAGTATAAGCACACATGAGCATGTTTCAGTATGTACATCCCGCACTTCATGCAGTTTGCATTCGCATCACAGGTGTTCTGCCATTTTCAAATGCTTGAACCAATTCCTGTGCATTTGCAACTGACTTTGCTGATTCCCAGCTGTTATGCTCATGTCCATATCCCAGCCATTTGACAAGGTACTCAACATAGTTTTGCGTCTCCCACGCTTTTTAATCCTTTTATCAAGGATACGTTCAACTTCATACTCCAGTTCACCTTCGATCTCGATAGGTACTGGGGGTGGCTGTACTCTGCCACTTGCCTTATAAGGCTTAATCTTCGATACATGAAATACTGGATGTATCCTATGCATGCTTTCCGGGGGTTCTAGTCGATATGCGACAGAACCTATCCGGTCGAGGATGGTGAAGGGCCCAATCCACCTCGGTAATAGTTTTCGAGTTCCAGGGTGTTTGAGAGTAATATGCTGTGTCGAAAGGAGGACGTCATCTCCTTTACTAAACGACATCTCTCTCCGATGGCGGTCAGCATGCTTTGACTGCCTATCTCGTGCTTTCTCTAAGCACGCCCTGGCCTCTTTCAGCGCTGATTGGACACGGTGATCAAATCGTGTCACTGCTGGTAATCCCTCCACGAGGGGCGTACCAGACTGCCTCAAATAAGGCTGCTGCGCCCTTTCAATAGCCACTGCCAAGCCGCGGGCATTCGGATTGTCATAGCCCTTTAATGGCTTCCGAATTTGCACACCAAGAGCTAAGGGACTCTTTGGGTGCCTCTCGTAATTCAGATAGAACGGGGTTTCTTGGGTGGAACTGTTTTTCGAGTTGTTCATTGCAAACTCGGCCATGGCTAATAGTTCATCCCACGCGTCATGGTCAGAACGCGTATAACTGCGTAAGTAATCCTCCAGAACCCGATTCATGACTTCGGTCTGGCCATCCGTCTGTGGATGGTACGCAGTGCTCATGTTGAGCTGGATCTTCCACCTCTCGGCCAGGTACCTGTAAAACCTGGAAGTGAACCGAACGTCTCTGTCGGACACTATCTGAGAGGGGAGGCCGTGGTGCCTTATCACGTTCTGCACCAACAGGTCAGCTGCTCCTTCTACGGAGAGCTCGGTGGTCGTAGCTGCGAGGCGGACCATTTTGGTCAGTCTATCAACGAACACGACGATAGCATCATGACCTCCCTTAGTTTTTGGCAGTTGTGTAATGAAGTCCATGGACAACTCTGTCCATGGCTCCTCAGGAATGCCCAGTGGCTGTAATAAGCCTGGGGTCTTATGACGAGGGTACTTAGCCTATTGACAAACCAGGCAAGTATCGACGTACTGGTGTACTTCTCGTCGCATTCCTGGCCACCAGTAATGCCGCTGGACCAAGTCCAGGGTCTTAGCTTGACCAAAGTGCCCAGCACTTGGATGGTCATGAGCCAATTGGCAGATCTCAGTCCGCAGACTGGGAGACTCAGGGATATACACCTGAGTGCCTCGCAGCCACAACCCGTCTGTACAGCGCATGTCTTGCTGCTGTCTAATAGACGCAAGCTGGGGATCCTTGC